CAAGTAGCTAGGATTACAGGTGTGAGGCACCTGCACTGGGCTCCCAGAGTCCTCTTGTTTCAGTCCACAGTGATCCGTGGTCATTCTGTAGATCCACTTGTCTTCTGCTCCACCTAGATAGATGAGCCGAATGGGGTTGGGGCAAGGGATCACCATTTTCCATTTTTCCGCTTCCTGCTGCAGTTCCTCCACACATATGGCATGGGTTTTGCTCAGGGTTTTGGCAGGTGGAGGCAATTCTAATGGCTTCCACTTGTCCTTTCTCTGTGGGCCAGGGAATCAATGTGGGGTCCTGCCACTGGCTGAGTATCTCTCCCAATTGTGCATCCTGGAACCGGGTCAACAACTATAGGATGGGTACAAGGTCCTTGGCCTGCTGGGAGACATCTGTGCTTCAGCTCCACTGTATGCGAATGGAACTGAGAATGCTGGAGGTGCAGCTCAGTGGCAGAGCACCGGTCTAGCATGCAGGAGGCTCTGGGTTCCATCCCCAGCCCTGCAAAATAGAAAAAAATTATGAAAAGATGCAACCAAGAAAGAATTTTTCAGACTGAAAATGACACTTGTGAGAAATGGCCAGCACTTTCAACTGGATTTTATTACAAGAGAGTCAAGGTTAAGTGCCTTTCCTCTATATTTTGAAGGGTCTGCCCAGACTGCAACAGGGGATGCCTCAGGGTCACAGTCACCCTGTGGCAGTTTAGGACAATGAGAAGGGTAATGGCTTGTTAGCATTGCCATCTGTCACCATTGTATCACTTCTGCACTGTCTGAAAAAAGGAATTGTAGCTCATTTAGCTTTGGTTTCATCCAGACTATGCAAAAAGGTTTATTTAAAAAAAAAAACAAGCAAACGCTTTGGGATTAAAATTGCCAGATTTAGCAAAGAAAAACACAGCATGCTCAGTTAAGTTTGAATTTCAGATAAGCAACCAATATTGTAATTGTTGTTCATGGGACATATGTATACTAAAAATTACTTAACCGGATTGCCTCGATAAATAGATTTTTTTTTTTTTGCCCTGGAAAATCATCTATAGGCAAATCAGAAGCATTGTCAATTTTTCTTGACTGCACTCTTTTGCTTTTTACTCTTTGTTATTTTTTAAATTCAGTCTTGTGGGAAAGAGGGAAGATGTGCTATTTTTATCTTTAGGGAGCTGTCTTCTTGGTCTGACATAGAGGAAGATCTTGCCAGATAATCAATGTCTCAAGTACACCATGTGTTTGTTCAGGTCATTGTCACTAGGTCACCTGTCCCACTGGTCAGTCTGGGTTTTCAGCAGCCTTTTCACTTTCAGATCTTCCTTCTCAATACCTTCCATGTTTTCATCCTGAAAATTTTGACCAGATTATCCTTGGAGTTCATCACAGTGTCTGTAAGCATTGAAAGGTGATGTCATTTCCTCTGACATTTCTGTCCCATACATATGGGAGAAGTGGATGGACAGAATGACTAATTCTATAGATTTGTAAAGAGAATTTCTCCATTACTCATCTACCTTCTGTCCTTGAACTTTTCTGACCCTCTTTTCATATCTGCTGGGATGCTTTCTTCCCTAGGCCCTCTCTTGACTGGTTGTATTGTTTTTATTTGGATTTAATGCCATTCTGGATGAGACTGTGCTCCCTATGGGGTCTCCCTAGAGAGTTTCCTCTCCCTGGTCAGTGGCAGAGGTGGAAGGGTGTGGCCTGTGATCATCTTGTACACCATGTGACAACTCTACTTGGCAATGTGACAGAAACATGGGCACTGGGCTCCTCAGCCAGTGTTCCTATACAGCCCACACTCATATAACAGGGTGCCTGGAGGGTCTCAGAGGCTTTTAAAAATAGCCTTTTTGAAGTATAGTTGATATCAGTAAGTAGCACACACTTAAGGTACACAGTTTGATAAGTTTTTGACATGCATATATACCAGTGACACCATTGCCATAATCCAGATAGCAAACACATTTACCATTACCACATCCCCCTGCCAATTTCTTATATATAACCCCCCCACCCCCGCCTCCTGTACCCAGCATCCTGAACAACCATTGATTTTGGGACACTGTGGATTGGTTTGTATTTTTCCAAATTTTCTGTAAACGAAATCATAAAATCAATGCTCTGTTAGTGTGTTGGATCAGTATTTTACTCCTTTTTGCTGATGTATAGATCTGATCTTACTTATTTACCTGTTAACCTGCTGATGGATGTTGAACTGATTTCAGTCTGGGGTTCTATACACACAGCTATCAGGAACATCCAAGTACAAGTTTGGGTTTGGACACACGCTTTCAGTTTTTTGGGGGTAAATACTGAGGAATGGGGTAGTTGGTGGCTACATGGTTAGTTTTTAAATGAAAGTGCCATATTTTCCAAAGTGATTGGATCATTTTTACATTCCCACCAGCAGTGCATGAGAGTTCCAACTGTTCTACATTCTTTATGAAGCTATTTGGTGCTGTTGAAAATGTCACCATGTTTCTTTCTTCTTTGTTTTATGGTGGTGGCTGGCATTTGTCATGCTGTGGAATGGAGGGATCCTTCATTCTGGGAAGGACCCCTGAGTGACTTCTTTTTAACACCTGTTACTGGGTTCACTCCAGCTTACCTTGAGGTCAGACCTGCATCCTCATCGCAGCCCTAAAGAGCAGCTGTGTCCACAAGGCCTCAGTGAGTGACGTAAGTTGCCAGGGAAGAGAATTTCCTTCTGAACTCAGCAAAATCAAAATAATTGGAACAAATAATTTTGTTCCACTATTTAATTTCTCCCCAATTTTCATGTCTTCTCTTCCTCTCTCCACCACCTGTTACAAACCTAACAATTCACTTCTGGTTCTAAATTCCATACTACATTCAGTACAAAACCAAACCCCTTAGTCAGCTGGGTTTCTTTGTTCTAGAATTGTGGTTCTCAGAGAGGTCTCTGGGCCAGCAGGGTGAGCAATGGAAATTTGTTAGCAATGCACATTCTTGGGTTCCATTCCAGACCCACTGAGCCAGAGAGACTGGGGTGGGGCCCAGCAATCTGTGCTCCAACACAGGTATGGTGATGGATTCTGATGACTGAGATCCACTGCCATAGACTAAGTTTGGAGCCATTATTGCTGCTCAAGCATGTCCCTTGAGGGTCATCCACACATCCTCTTCAGCTATTTCATCTATCACTTCAGATATGCGGAAGCAGATGGGGAGCTCTGATGTTTGGAAAATAAGGCTTTCTTCATCTCAGTTCATCAGTACAAAGCAAATTCCCACCCACTATTTTTGAGGAAGGAAAACAGGATGCTTTGGGATGAACAAAGACTCGGGCTTTTAGTGGGTTAAAGATCTTTGTGTTCCATCTACTTATCCAGGGAGGAAGGAACCTCCTATGAGGAAGGGACAGGGACCAGCTGCTTTCCTCCAAGGTCCAATGGCTCAAACATATCTGATGCTGAGAAGGCAGCAGTGTGGCCTGGTGCTCTGGCAGACCTCTGGTGAGGTCTTCAGCAAATATCAATTGCTGTGTCTCTGGTTCTTCTTGGTGCAAGGGATGCTGGGCTAACAGAATCAGGCAGCCATCCCAGGCCCTGTATTAGTAGGACTTAGCCATGAGCAATGGCTGTCCCAGGCAGCAAGGCAGTGGTGGCTTTGAGGCTTTGAGGCTTTGAGGGGTGAGATGATCAAGAGACTAGAGAGTGGGTAGTCTGGCTCTGAACACCAGAGACTCAAGGACAAGCCACTGCTAAGGTCTCAGGGGTTTGGTGGGGAGGTAGCTCTGTGAGAAGACTTGGCTTCCTGCTGATGTGCTCTACTAACTCTGCTGCAGAAAGGAAGTGGATAGCATTTTGTAGTCACAGTGGAGGCCTGAGGTATGTGTTAAATTTAAAAGAGCAAAGTAGGTGACCACTGTAGTACATACCGCTGTTGTACCCAGCCACTCAGGAGGTAGAGGTAGGAGAATAGCATGAAACCCTATTTAAAAACAAATTAAAGCAACAAGGACTGAGGGCATGGCTCGAGTGTTAGAGCACTTGCCTAGCAAGCACAAGGCCCGGAGTTCAAACCCTAGTACGAGAAAAAAAATTGAAGGGTCAAAGTATTCATTTTGTTAGACATTTCTAAATTTAATTTTGTATTTGCTGTTTTTAAACTTGCTACAATTTCATAGCCTAGATGATAGAGTCAGTAAATTCTCACAGGTTGGGGGGATTGGAGGCCTTAGGTATGGCAGCCAGCAAAGGAACTTAGAGAACGCCCCCCAGGCCAAGTCACCTTATCTCTGATTTCTAAAGCCTCCAGATGGCTAGTTCTCCTCATTACTTGCAAGAGAATGTGCCTGAAAAATTGCTTCCACGTTAACAGGTCACTGTGTAGTTGGATTGTGGTCAAACTGGTTTTTCAATAGCACATATTTATTTTGTGTATTTCGCTGGACAATTTTTGGAAGTTTGGTGTGCTTGGATAAAGTGTAAGAGCAAATGATATCCAGGTCTCAGTCCTGACACTTTGTAGTGGTGTAACCTTAGACAAATTTCTGAGCCTGGATGTCCTCGGAGAAAAGAGATAATCACACCTAGGCATGGACTAATGGTGAGGAGCAAAGGGGCTCTCATTTGTAAAGAGTGTTTAATAAATGTCCACTCACTTGCCCCTTTTCTTCCTGGATCCTATTGTATAACAAATGGGTGGAAAAAAAAAATAGCTGGGCACAGGGGTTCACGCCTGTAAATCCTGGCTACGGGGAAGGTGGAGATCAGTAGAACAGAGATTTAAGCCCAACCCTGGCACAAAGTTTACAAGACCTCATCTCAACCAATAAAAACAACATGCCTGTCGACCCAGGTAGGCAGGAAGCATAAAGGATCATGGTCTATAAACATGAGACCCTATTCCAAAAAGAACTGAAACAAAAAGGGTTGGAGATGTGGCTTAAGTGCTAGAGCACTTGCCTAGCAAGTGTGAAGCCCTGAGTTCAAACCCTAATATTAAAAAAAAAAAATACATACAACAATACAAAGGGACAGAAACCAATATTTATTTCTTCTGTCTTTGAATCAAGCTAGGTTACAGTTTGGTGGAATGGTCATGGTCTTCCCTTGATGGATCTTGGTCAGAATCTACACTGGGTTCATTGTTACACCCAGGGAACAGACTGTAGAGGTATTTCCTAAATTCTTTGTCAAGAAGCAAATAGAGGAGAGGGTTGACACAGCAATGGGTGACACCAATGATCTTTGTGATCTGCACACTTCTGTCCAGTTTGTAGCTGCTCTCACAGTCTTGAAGGGACAAGCGTTCTTGGAAAGTGGAGAGGCAAAGGACAATACTGTAGGGGGCCCACATCAAAAGGAAGATGACCATTATTGCAAAAACAATCTTGAAGAGCTCGAACTGCTGCTCCCCGAGACGTCGTGGTTTTCTGATTTGGACATAGCAAAATAGAAAAGTGAACAATGGGAAAACGAGCACCAAAATGTTGGTCTTTAAAGTTAGAAAACTCTTCAAGGATGTCTCTTCAGCTGGCAGGAAGTGAGGTGTGTGGAAAGAGCACTTGTCTTCGTGGCCTTCTGTCTGAAGTTGATAAAACACCAATTCAGGCAAAGTGACCACAGTGGCAATGACCCATGCCAGGACGCTTGTGATGACACCTCCAGGCACCGTCTGGAGGGCCAAGGATAACCATCGTAGGTGGGAAAAAACCTGGTACCTTTGCACAGTTAACAGGACATTGAACAGTGCCTCGCTGTACAAAGCTATGGAGTGGAGTCCAGCCAGGATTTTGCATGTGGGATGGATCAGGCTTGTCCCATGTGAGGCCATGTGAGCCCACAATGGCAGGGGTAACAAGAAACACAAATTAGAAAGTGCCAAGTTTAGAAAGTAGATATTTCCCACATGTTTGAGTCCTTTATATTTTATCAGGATAAATACAACCAAGATGTTCAGAAGACCGATCACAAACACTGTGGAACAGAGCTGCAGAACCTGCTGGGCCGAGAGGACGTTGGTGGCATGTTTGTCACATTGCTCCGGCTCACTGAAGTCCAGATCACCCACTATGAGGACATCATACTCATCCTCAGGAGCCTCTGTGTAATTAGTCATCGTCAGGCTGTCCTGCGGAGAAAGGAGAGACTGTTTTATCCCAGAGGAAATAACAAACAGGATTGGACCCACTCGGCCCACACTTTGACTTTTTTGATATCTAATTTTAATCAGAGTTGGTCTGCATCACAGAGAACTGAAAATAAACATTTCTTTAACACGTGCCCATTTCTCCAGATTGGTGACTGACCTATTCAGTACATACTAGGAGTATTTAGCTGTGTCTTACAATGCTACGGGAAAACAGAAGGAGACATGACACGGTCTTTACTTAAATTCTTTTCTTTCAAACAGGACTTGCCCACTTGAAGACAGTTTCTAAGAAAACATACAACTAACGACAGCAGATCCCATGGCTTACTGTCAAGAAATCGACATAGCTCTAATTTCTATGTGTTGAAAAGATTTGCTCACCAAAGAAGTTGTTTCCTGTGGCAGGCTGAGATGCTTTCCTCTCGAAGGATATAAACAAATGTTTGCAAAAGTGAAACCATGTGAGGCATCCCCGGTGCACAGAGCTGGTGAAATACAGAAATGACTTACCACTTGACCAAGATCCTCCGGGGGGAGGGCACGGCCTCTTGACCTACCATCCAGGGGCCTGTGGGAACAGTGGGGGCTGTGGAAGACAGCTTCCTTCTGGACAGACTGCTCCTGACCTCAAGGGACAAAGAAAAACTGCCGTTCATTCCCTGGTGGCTCTGTGTCTCCAGTAACCACTCTCAGGGACCAGCTGAAACAGACTCAAAAGCTCCTGGAGCCTCTGTTGAATATCTGAGAGAAACTGGGAAGTTGTTTTCTCCTCCCACTTTCTCTGGTACCCGCCTTTGATTTTCCTGTGGCCTGTAGACAGCAGTCCTCCTGGCTGCCCCAGATAAGGGAACTAAGTTACTGTTGCTTCCAGTGATAGGAAGGGAGTGACGTCAGGCACCAAAATGCAAGGAGCCCCCTTTGGCTTCTGACCTCAGCACTCTGAATCACTAGCAGCTGCCAGAGGAGAAAAGTGTCTGTGGTGACCAATGAGTCCAGATCCGAGGGTCCTGACCCTCGAGTGCTGCTTCTCCCCAGCCCTGGCAGAAGCCCACACCCTGAATTAGTTCGGGGGCCAGCCACCTGCAGCGAGCACCATAGTGAGTGGTGTGTGCATTTTTGAGAGGCACTGTGTGCTTTGGTTGAGGGATGGGGTCTCCAGCAAGGATTTGGAGAAATAGAAACCACGGAGTGACGTCAGTTGGGAGGGAGGTTGGGGGCAGAGATAGGGTTTTAGTGCTGCTCTGGACATTGATATGGAGGAAAGTAGAGTGTCACAAACAACCGGAAGTGATTAGGAGAGACAGAAAGTGATTGGTGCTGGGATACTTGGGGGGAGCTGGCCCTGCTCTGGGAAGATCCCAGAGGAGGAAAATCCTAGGTGAGGACGTAGAGGTGATATCAAGTCAGGTGGGAGAGATGCGGAAAAGAAAGTGAAGGAGGGAGTAGCCTGGATCTAGAAAGGTGAGGAGGGAGGGGACGGGTGCAGTTTGAACTGAGAAGAGGAACTTGAACTGAGAAAACATTGATGATCTCCTGGAGTGAAGACTCTTTTTTTTTAACTTGTTCCTCCTGTTCTTTTCTTTTACATTTTTAAAAAATTGGGATATATTTGTTGTATGGGAGGATTCATAGTGACAATTCCAAATAAACTTGTATTGTACATTGGTTAGATCACCCCCATCCTCTCTCCCTCTCACCCTCCTCTCTGCCCCACTTGAAAACAGTTGCAAGAGGTTTCTTGGTTCTGTTTCATGTAAGTATATGAAATTCATCAACCATATTCCCTCACCTTAGCCTCCTTCATTCACCCTCTCCCCTACCATTAGTTCCCCCTCATGCTGTACCTGTTTTATAGTTGTCTTTCATTATTAATATTTAAGGTGATGGCCAAAGAGGTTTCTCAATGTATGCCCACCATGGATATACTTCATTTTGGTCTGTTCAGCCCCTTCCATTACTCTCCCTCACCCCTTTAGCCACTATCCCCTCTTTTTCCACAGCCTTTAATACACAGCCTTACATCTTCTACCTTCACAGATGTTACGTTTTATAGGATTGTTGATGCTTTATCGTTCTCTTTTCCTTTCCCTAAGTTCCATAGAGTAGTTCCACTATTACTGACATATTCTACATATGAGTTTGTACATGATCGTGCTTGTTTTTGTGTATATATTTATCTTTTGGATCTATCTTCCATATATGAGAGAAAACATGTGGCCTTCGTCTTTCTGAGCCTGGCTTGCTTCACTTAACAGGTACTCCAAGTATCCATTTACCTTCAAACCACATGTCATTGTTCCTTATGGCTGAGTAAAACTCCATTGTGTATACATACCACATTTTCTCGATCCACTCGCTAGTTGTAGGCACCTGAGTTGTTTCCAGAGCTTGGCGATTGTGAACACTGCTGCCATGAATGTTGGTGTTCAGGTGTCTCTATTGCTGTCGTAGGGCAATGACTTTGTAACTGTGATGAATGTAATGTAATCTGGGCACCAGGGCTGCATATTGGCTTAGCATCTATGTCTCTGGTTCAATGACATCCTTTGCGTTTCAAAGATGTGTCGATACAGAAGGTGTATCTGTCAAAATGGATACAGATAATCAGGAAACTATTAAGAGAAAAATAAGCATAAAAAGAGTGCAGAAAACCCCTGATCAAACGTTTTGCTCTAAGCATATCAACAGGGCAGAAAGGGAAATGGAATCAAGGCATTGGGAACCCCAGCTGTGACAGCTTCCCAGCAAGTTCTCTCCTCTTCTGGTATGTGTGTGGGGCTCCTGTGAGTGAATGGGGGTCACCAGGCCCTGGGAAGCTCTGTCTGCCTGTGGCAGCAGCCACAGTGTGGGGTCAGGTTTAACAGTACCTTTCCTTCTGAAGTCTTTCTGCTTCCTGCTGCTGGGTGACTTGCAGCCACACCAGGACACCCAGAACTGTGAGTGAGTAGGCGACGGTTGTCCAGTGGTTAGTCCGGACGGGGTTAGGAGAGTCAAGTCACACTTTAAAATGTGAATGACCCCATGAACGTACACACTGCTCATTAGATGGTGGGGAAAACCAGGGCGCAGGCACCTCATAGTCAACGTGTCACAGAGTCATGTGACATGTAAAGTTTCCCAAAGAAAAACACTGTTCTGTAAATTCAGAATTCCCCCTAACTTCCTGGTCAGTAAGGCCTTCACTTTCAGTATTACTTTATTTTGACTTGATTCCCAACTTTCTCTCTACCCACAGTCAGGGCATGGGATTAAAAAAAAAACAAAACTCCTTAACTGGAAAGAAGGAAAAGCATAGAGGTCAGAATCTGAGACACAAGGAAAGATCTACTATTCCAATATCTGAAACCATATAGCGTCATTGTGTTAGTCAGACCTCATCACTATAACAAAATACCAGAGACAATCAAGTGTGAAAAGAAGAAAGGTTTATTTTGGCTCTTAGTTTCAGAAGTTTCAGTCCATGGTCACTTGAACCCCTTGCCTTTGAGGCTGTGGTGAGGCAGTGGGAGCACATGGCAGATGAAGCTTATTCCCCTCGTGGTGGCTGGAAAGTGAATAAGAGAGAGAGGAAGGGTCTGGGGTCCCAATGTCTCCTTCAGAGGCATGCCCCTAATACACTCACTTTCTTTCACAAGGCCCCACGTCCTAAAGGTTCCCCCACCTCCCCACAGCACCACAGGCTGGTGTCTAAGCCTTCAACACACAGGCCTTTGGAACAGCAACCACAGCAGCCATCCTGGTTTGGTGAAACTACACCCTGTTCTGTGGCTCAGGCATGTGGTTCTCCAGCCTTAACTTTGAAGGTCAGTGTTCCTCTTTATCACTGTAACTCAATTCCAGTTTCAGTTATCACTTTATACTCTCCTGCCCACTACATGTAGGTCACCAATTCATTCAACAAACATTTGTAGGGTGCCTAGCAAGCAAAAGTCCTGATCTTCAGGGAGCTCATATTCAGCAGACAAAAACCAAAATAAGGAAGTACATCATAGATTGGGAGGAAAGAAGGGCTACAGGGGAAAGGGAAGTGAGGAAGGGTTACAAGAAAGGTCTGGGTGGCTCGGTAGTGAGAGAAAGCCTTGTTGAGAAGGTGAGCTGGAAAGCAGCACATGATGAAATCCAGTAATTAACGTTCATTATCTCATTTTTCTTGTTGCAAAGTTCTTATATCAGGGAAGTTGCCAACACACACTGGGTGATAATTTCAGCAATAATTTTACAGAAGATGTAGAAATGTTCTCCAGATCATATAGAGTCTCCATTTAAAATATAAAAGATCCAGTGCACCAGTTTTCAAAGTCTTGCTTCCCAGCTGCCAGTCCTCCCATGTTTGTCTGCTCTGTGATTTGAGAGCTGGGCCCTGAGACCATGTCTCCTTTGTCAGCTGGTGAGGAAGGCATGGGAAGGTCACAGGCAGAGGCAGGGTCTTCTCCTGGTTCTAGGATTTGCTTTTGTGTTGGTTTTGTTTTGTTCCTTGGGCTGATTTGCCAGTGCTGTGTGGGGATCAAGTGGTCCCCACTCTCCAGTGAATTTTGCTATGATTTAGATATATTTTGAATGTGTGCCCCATGTTCATGTGTTGGAAGGTTGGTCCCAGCGTGGTGATGTTGAGAGGAGGTGGAGCTCACTGGCATGAGGATCTCTCTCTCTCTCTCAGACATTTCTTTTATATACTGATTTGAATGGAGATTTCTGAGTCACAAAATAATCTTATCTTTACTTTTTTGAAGTACCCCCATACTACTTTCCAAAATGGCGGTACTAATTTTCATGCTTACCAGCAATGTACAAGGGTTCCCTTTTCTCCACAAACTTGCAACACTTGTTATCATTTGTTTTTGTTGGTTTTTCTTTTTGGCAGTACTGGGGTTTGAACTCAGGGCCTCACGCTTGCTAGGCAGGTGCTCTACCACTCTGCCAGGCCTTCAATTGCCTTTTTGATGCTTGCTATCCTAACAGGTGTGAGGTGATGTCTCATTGTGGTTTGATTGCATTTCCCTGATGATTAGAGACTCTGAACATCTTTTTATGCATCTGGTGGATATTTATACGTCTTCTTTAGAGAAGGGTCTGCTCACCTGTTTTGCCCAATTTTTAATCAAGTTACTTGTTTTCTTTCATTTGAGTTGTGTGAGTTCCTTATATATTTTGGGTTTAGCCCCTTATTCAATATATGGTCTGCAAATATTTTCTCCTGACCTGTGGGCTATCTCTCCCCTCTGTCATTTCTTTTGTTTTGTAGAAAGTTTTCAGTTCCATGCTATCTCATTTGTCTATTATTTCTTTTGTTACTTGTGTCTTTGGAGTCCTATTGCAGAAGTCATTGCCCAGATCAACATTCTACAGCTTCCCCTATGTTTTCTTCTGGTAGCTTTGCAGTTTCAGGTCTAATGTTTAAGACTTTAATCCATTTGAGTTGATTTTTAATCATAAAGGTTTAATTTTACTCTTCTGGACGTAGATATCCATTTTTTTTAACATCATTTACTCTTCTGGATGTAGATATCCAATTTTTTTAACATCCTTTTATCATTATATGTTCTCAGCACCTTTGTCAAAACTCAATTAACTGAAAATACTTGGGTTTATTTGAGGTGCTCTATCCTGTTGCATGGATTGATATGTCTATTTTTATGCAGTTACCTTGCTGCTTTGATTACAATAAATTATATATATGACTGGGGTTTGAGCTTAGGGCTTCATACTTGCAAAGCAGGCAACTCTACTGCCACCTCCACTCCATTTTGCTTTGCTTATTTTGAAACTATTTTCTGGGCTGGCCTCAAACCATGATCCTCCCTACCTCAGCTTCCCAAGTAGGGATCATAGGTATGAGACACCAGCACCTGGTTTTATAATATATTTGAAATTATGGAGTGGAATATCTTCAGTTTGGTTCTTTCTGCTCAAGATTGCTTTGGTTATTTGGGGTATATGAATTTTAGGATTTTTTTTTACTGTATCTGGGAAAAACAACTTTGGTAACAACAGAGCCCTCAGCTGAGCCTACAAGGTGCTGTGAAGCTGGGATGGTCCTTGAGGACTGGATTGAATTCTGGTGATTGGGCCAGAGCCTCTGCAACACTTGCCCTCAGACTGCGCATAGCTTGGGCCAGAATTCCAGTTGCCAGTGCCCAGCAACTGGCTGAGTGGGAGTGGATGCAATGGCCCTAAAAAGGGCGATGGCAGGTTCCATAGCATCCTCTGTCCAGGTGAGGGGCTTCAGACTTCCTGCAAACTTTGTCTACCCTGAATACCAAGAAATAGAGATTAAAACTTGCACAAACACAATGTCATAAGACCAAAGAGCCCACAGAGAGGCTGTACACACTGCAGGAGGAAGTCATGTGACCAGTGAGGCCACCCTGCCTACTGCTCCACGTGACCCTTCAGTTATTATTCATCCATTGTCATCAGAGTATGAAGAAAAGGGTCAGAGAGGAGCCAGGAAGTCTCTCCCAGCCCTGCTCCTCTAGCTCTTCCTTTTCTTCTTCTTCTCTGCCTAATTTGTCACTCTTCAATTTTCATAAGGTCAGGTCAGGTTGGACAGACATGGATCCAATGTGAACCATGTCATACATGGATAAGATGCTACTTCTTCCTTAAAAATATTCCCTTAAAATTAGTTATGAGCCATTTTAACTGGGCAGAAAAGGACTAGGAGTTGCTTTTCAGGCTGCGTGGCTGTCCTGGCTCCTGCCTAGGCCTTCTCAATCCATATCTGGACAGCCACTCTGCTAGGTTCAGTGCTAGCACACTCATCTTCCCCCTCATGCTATCTGGATGTCCCTCAGGATTGCCAACTCAACTGGCCAGAAAACAGAAGCTGTCTTCCCACACTGGCAACTGTGCTCCTCATTTCACTGGGTGGAAGCCTACTTCTTCCTAAGTCCAAGTTCTGATGAACATTCAGGATGCCTTGTCATGTTCAGAGCCACTAACTTTTCCACTCAGAGTCCATCGGCCTGGACCGAGACCCTGGCTGTGTTCTGGAAGCAGCACTGCCCACTCTTCTGCCTCTGCCTTCACAGTCACCCTATCTCCTTTAGAGTCTTCCATAGGCCAGTGCCAATCTGAGGTCTAAAACTGGCACTTGTCCCCTGGCTTACGAGTACCATGCAGCGTTGGGTGTGAGGCCCACCTCATCTGTTCTCTGCCTTCTAGCCCCACTGCTTTCTGTTTCTTCCCCAGTTTCCATGCTCAAAAGGCCACTTACTGTTCCTGAAGTCACCTCTTCCATATGCTTCCATGTTTTCTATACACCGTTCCCACTAAAATTTCCCCATTTAGCTCACACGGGCATACTTTTTCTTGTAATTTATCCTACATAAGAGTCCTCACCCCATCTCATATACACACAAACTGAAAAAGACACCCAGAACTGCCATGGTCTAAGGACATTTTGCCAGTTATGGGATGCATGCTCACCAGGTCTCCTCACATCACTGGAGAGGTCTAAGT